TGATGATACAGTATCGCGATCAGGGACAGCTGTATTGATATATCAGCAAGAGTATTTTTGGCATATTTTACAAAATTATTTTGTTACATCACTACAATTTTGTTGTTTGTTTTTGTGAAACAATTTCTCTGTAGCTGCACCAATATCCCTACTGGATCACAAATTAATGAGTGCAGAAATTGAAGACTTTTAGTATCACAGCTATGATTTAACCATTATTTTTTTATTGAACAGTATCAAATCTATTTGAAATATATCGCATCGAACCGAAAGCGCACTGTATCGAGACATGTATCGCATCGTGGCCTATATATATCGAGACATGTATCGCATCCTTGCCTATATATCGAGACATGTATCGCATCGTGGCCTATATATCGAGACATGTATCGCATCGTGGCCTATATATCGAGACATGTATCGCATCGTGGCCTATGTATCAAGGTATGTTTTGTATCGCCAACTTCTTAATGATACCCAGCCCTAGTCTCCACAGATCTGACCTGTAACTTGGTCTGGTTTGGTCTGTGTGAAGATCGAAAGGTTTAATGCCATACTGTGAAACATTCCAGACAAAGCAATACATCTCCATGGAGAAAACCCTCCACAAGAAAAGTTACACAATGCATCTTTACATCAATTTATGTCCAACCAGGATATTCGCAAGTCAATATCCGGTGCTGCATATTTTTCTGTAGCTGTGCTGATATCCCTACTGGATCACAAATTAGTGAGTGCAGAGACTGAATTTAAAGCTGCACTATGTAACTTTTCTGGTAGAGGATCGTTTACTTACTTCACTGAAATGTTCAAGTGTATACATATGGAGAGAAGCTGGGAACAGACCCCCTTTAAAGTAAAATAATGACGGAGCTGAATTTGGTTTAGATTAGAAAAGATTTATGAAAAACCACTAGAAATTTCAGACCTATTTCAGACACTAAATTGTGGAAAATGTCAATCTGTCAACTGGTTATGCAAAGTTCACATTCTTTAAATATTGCTGCAATTCACAACCCAAAGATGTGTCTTCAGAATCCATGTTAAAATATGTTGAACGGCCACATGTTTTGGAGAAGTCCCACTTAATGAACTGAGCTTTGTGGCTTTATGGCTCTCCTTTGGTGCGGCCTTTTATTGTGCCCATAAACACTTCACCTCTGATGAAGATGGATGGAGGGGTGAGCCCACTTCCACGTAACTTATTCATGGTAGTGTCTTTGAAGTTTTTAAAAGTAATACACGTTTCGGTCAGTTTGTATCAGTCAGTTGCATGTATGGATGCACTGATCCAGCTTATTTTGTTCCAATGCCAATGTCAATTAGGGCCGGGCATCATTAAGAAGTTGCCGATACAATACATACCTTGATACACAGGCCACGATACAATATGGTGAGGTTTCGATTCAATACAATATATTTCAAATTGAACTGATACTAGGGTTGGGCGGTATCCAAATTTTGATACAGTTAAACAGTCTCAGGATTTTACCGGAGTACACAGTATTACCGTATTACCAAAATGTTTTAGTACGAGCTATGAAGCCGCACTGCTGTACAATCTATGCGTATGACCTGCAGATTTATAATCTCTGAAAAGTTAAACATGAACCATTTCCAACAGACTCACCATCAGCCGCAACATCCTCTGTCGCAAAAAAAAAAAACATTCCACTGAAAGAACATATTTTACTGAAAAAACATATTCCAGTCGTGTCCTTTAGTCCGACAAAAGCTGAACCACATCAACAGCACAAGAAGAGAGCAGTTTTTATCAGCTCTTACAGTTCATGCAAATTAGGTACGTGGTTTTAAGTTTTGTTTCTGTAAAACAAAGAAATGTGTGCCTGAAGCCAAAATGCTGCCAAATTGCAGAAGTACTAGTATTTTTAGGGGGGACCAGCTCGCTTGCAGTCGGACTTGCCATCTCATCTTGTCCTCCTTTATGAGAGTCACATGACAGCGGAACAAAACTAATAGAATGTCACCTCCCCAAGAAACATTAGATACTATTAGTTTTAAATCGTGTTAGCATTAAATTGAAAATACAACCACACATTAATTTGTGCTGAGCAAACAAATTTAAATATCACTACATTATAATATTATATTAAGTCCTTATGCGCTGCAGATTTTTTTAATGATGGTAATGAAACTGATACCATTGCCATTTTTTGATACCGTGGTATACCGTAATACCGTATTACCACCCAACCCTATTTGATACGTTTCAATAAAAAAATAATGCCGAAATTATGGCTCTGATACTAAAAGTCTTTGTTAAACCACTTCAAGTTCATATGAAACACACAGATTTCATATGAAACATACCCATTTTAATCCTGAAAACAGTGAAAATGCGAAATGTGTCAAACACTAGACAGTTTGCAAGAACCCAGAAGTTGTAGACCACGCACCGGCCAATCAGCAAAGAGCTGTGAAGCCATGACGTCAAACTCAAGCACCTGTGTGGGTCCCTTTTGTGGTACATCACAGCAGTAAACAAAAAAAGTACCGCGCTACCGTCGAGCAAACGAATCCTAATGCTGCGAGGTCAGACGGTTTCCACAAAGTGAAACCGGCTGATGAAACAGGCTATGTAAACTGCTGCAGTGAGCCTCATCATTTTGGTCTTAAAATATCCATATTAACCTGCTCTACATGGTCCTGTTTTTATTTTGCCATTTTGTTCATAAATAAATTCCTATTCCAAATGCAGAACTGGCTCCAAATTCACCCTATAACCACCAGCATTGTGAGATTCATTTGACTGGAGCTGAACGCTATGGGTGACGTCACACTCCTGTTGTCCACTTCTTTATACAGCCTATGGTTTGTATCATAGTAGCATAGGTGGGATAGTGACTTCTGGTTTGTATATATAGCCTGTATTGACTTCGTGTTCGATCTTGCTCTTTGCTGATGAGCTACAGTCAGCTATGCCCAAGTCTCACTGCACTTATTACAGACAGGCCCCGACAAGCAGCACTCATTTATATGGAGCCATGGATCTGCCCATTGTAAAGACAGAGTTTGAATTGCATGGGAACAACTGATAAATACACAAAGCTGCACTGTCCACATCTGCACAAGTGGGGAAAAACAGATGGGTGAACTTAAAAGGTGCATTGTGTAACTTTTCTGGTGGAGGGTCCGTCAAATGCTTTTGTCTAAGGAGATGTTGTTGCTTTGTCCGAAATGTTTCACATCATTGTGTTAAACCTTTCTATCTTCATGGAGACCAAACCAGACCAAGTTACAGGTCAGATCTGTGGAGAGGCAACCCCGCTCAGTCAGAATGTTTTTCAAGGTATTTTTGAGCTATAAAACCACTTGTAATTGGATAAATGTGAGGTAGAGCTGTTTTATGTCATACTGTGGAACATTTCAGACAGAGCAATGACGTATCCATAGAAACAAATAGGTGACGGACATATACATAAACATAAGGCTGGACCATTTTGGAAACATACAATTGCCATTTTTTGGTGATCAATATTTGATGTGCGATTTGTGTTTTAATAAAAGGATTCTGTTCCAAGTTCACATTTTAAGCACGTCCAGAAGAACTGACAAAAAGAATGAAATACAACCTGACAAAGTAGCACAAGAATCACATTTCAGAACATGTTTGCGCAGCTATAAACTACAGGGTTAGCAGTTTGTATACAGAATAAGACAAGATATACACAAAGATATTTCACTGTTTTTGGAGCAAATTTCGGTACTTCAAAAATTTCAGTCTTTGCGATTTGCCAATTGCGTCCATTTAAATTCTGATTGCGATTCATTTTGCAGTCCCAGAGTACAAAAAGTGCTGTAATGTGCAAGTCTATGGTATGTGTTCGTAAACTAAGCATATAAATGATGGGCAAATAGAGATTAATGTATAAAAACTTGCATAAAAATGTTAAAATCAAAACTCAGTACCTGGTAGTAACAGGCCAACGCCCAGTGTCAACAGACTTTAAGGCAGTGATAGGCTGTTTGCAAGTTTTTTCTACATTTTTCATTATCAGTTTTGTGGGTGGTGTGTATTGGGAAAAAAGGTGTGTTAGTATGTGTGTTTTTTCACATTTTCACCAAATAATCATGGCAATCTTAATTTTAAAAACAGTATGTGACATGAAAATGTGACATCACAACATCCCAACTTCAAAATACTCCGTAACTCAACAGTAGAGCTGCTGAGTCTGTGTATAGGTGATTGTAGTAGCCTAATTTAAATAAATATTCACTGATAAGTATCTATAGAGACTGGCTTTGTGGGAGAGCTCCACCCTAGTGGGCTTTACTCCAGCTTCTAGTTCCCACTTTCACATGTCACTCCCTACAATCACAAACAGAGAAGTAGTCCTTGATTATTGAAAACTGTACTACTAAACACTAGTATTGTTGTTTTGAATGAAATATTTGAATGTAACGTAAGATTAACCCACCTCTTCATATTTGAAATGACCAAAAATATACATCTATTTCACATTTATTATGATTATCCAATTGTTTTTACTGCACAAATCTAAAATATAATATAATGGCCATCACCCCAGTGTGGGATCTACAGCATTGGAATCCAAACTATTCAACGAGTTTCAAGTTACAAAATTTCTCAGACTTTTCTTACATTTAGGCAAAACCAGAGAGTAGACGTGTTTGACATTTGCTAAAAAGTGGTATTAAATTACTAGATAAGATAAGAAAGATACAACTGTAGCTGTATTTTACTCTTCACCCAGTCTATCCATAATGTGTTTCCCATTTATACGGATTCCCAAATTTAACATGACCAGACCACTCCCACTGCCCCCCAGTTAGTATGGTAGTGTAAGTGAGTTTAGCGCACAATTGGGTACATTTTGTTGTCACTTTTGAGCTAAAACGTGCACCTTTTTCCTTGAATCCAGTGCGTAAAGCCACGTTGGAAATACCACTGCCGACTTGTGAGCAGAGCATGCCAAAGAAAACGCCAGAAACACGTAGTGCGTAACGCAGCCACTCACCTGTGATGATCTCCCGCTTGGCTTCGTCCAGGTGACTCGAAATCACGTCCCCCATCTTTCTTTCCCAGCCAAAAGTTTAGTCCACTCGAGTTAAAACTGCCCACGAGGTTCAGACGAGACGCAGTGTCCGGTTCGCTCAGACGCACGAGGCGCGCATAACCAAAGAGGAACCAAAAGGAACCAAAGCGAAATCAGCGCGGAGAGGAGCTCAGTGGAAGCCGCAGGAGAAGCGTGCCCGAGTTCAGACTGACGGCTCTGGGGACACACCCTCCTTTAAAAACTAAAGACGGGAACTCCACCTTCTGCAGGGCTGCCTTCAAATACCGTGGGAGATATTAACATTCCTATACACAAGCAAAGCGCGCAAATAGCAGCCAATATTATAACATAAGCCTGTGCTTTTCCAAGGCTACTATATCAAGGCTAACATTCAGATGTTACCTTTTTCCCGAATTTTAATGTTATGGGTTAGCCTATATGACAAATATTGGTTATGTGCACTTTCCTTACCACGATGCCATGTCCATGAACTGTTCACCAATCTGGGGTAGTTTTTACCGACTACTTGATTAAATAGATCATGTTATTTTGTGATTTAAAGTGTATTCTTAACCACAATATCACTGGAAAGTTCTTCTCAATTCTTTATCACCAGTGGCACAAGTTCCTTTGGTCTAGTGTCCGGTTTAGACTTCACGACACAGTCAGTGTGGAGATAACGTTGGTTGTCTGCTGCCCTCTGGTGGTCGAAATGATGTACCACACCGTTCCTTTTTTAATCAGAGCATTTTGTGGCGTTGATGAGACGCGAATCATTTCCTGTTGTTCACAGTTCTATGGATTAGTCCAGGAAATGGAGCAAGAAAAGCAACGAAACAGCCGAACCTAACTGCAATAGGCAACAAAACAAATGAAGCCGTCATGAAATCGTGAATAGAAATAGTGAAAAGTGAAAGAGTTTTCATGCTTGTCATAAATAATGAGTCAACTTTATTTTGAAAAGTACTTCAAAACTAACGGAAGTCCTGAGAGGGCTGTGACTGACAGCTCGTGGACTCGGTCCGTGTGTCAGTGCGCGTGTAGAGCTGGACCAAGGAGGCTCATCATGGCTCCACTGGGAATCAAGGCCATCGTGTGCGAAAGTGAGTGACTTCAAACTATTTTACACACTGTGGTAAACTTCTTAAAACTATAATTGTTGCTAGTTTGACTAGTTAATAATAGAGTTGGATATGACCCTCGTCTCCTCTGTTTAAAAGTTGTTTGCTTCGATTAGTAATTGCTTCTTTTTTCTTGATTTGCATTTTGTCATCACTGTTTTATCTTTACATGAATCTTAAATGAGTCCTCTTAAGGACATCGTGTCTGTAGACTCACCGGTACTCGTAAAAGCGCACAAACAGATGGCACAGTCAGCCTCAAAATTAGTTTTCAACCTTTTTTCATCCCTTTACAATATCATATTGCCAAAGTATAATCATGCAATAATAGTTTTATGTCTTTGTTCTAATATTGTCTCTGTGTGGGTTTTAGACGTTAGCAATAAGGTGCACATTTGGAGCGAGCGCGCAGTGAGTCCCGTTGGCGCAAATCCTGCCTCGCTAATCTTTGTCTGTGCGGATTAAGTTCTTTGCCTGACATCGTTCCGAGAGGAAACGCTCCTGTCACAAACACCAGCCTACACAGCGAGTCTTCATTTTTAAGAGAGTGAAAAGTCACGTAACAAAATTTATCTAGGCTCAATCACGAAATTACATTAAAGTGTTGAGAAAGAGGATTGATTTGAATTAGTTATGAAGCTTTCAACCTTATACTGTATGTAGGTTATATTTGAGCATCATCCCCGGTTACAGTAAACATACATGTGTGAAAAAAGACTTTTATTGTTTGTCTTCTTTTGAGACTGCTCTACAACTGTCAGTACTGCATGTACCAGGCTGCTGCTGATGCTGCTACATCTGAGCCTTTCATTTGGATTTCTCCATTGATGTAAAATAGTTGTTTTTGTCCAAATGCTGTTGGCAGTTTAAACCACAGATTTAGGGTTGTTAGTGTTAGATTTGACAATAATTCAATGAACAATCAGATCATTTATTGTTTGTGAGTAACAAAGCAATATCATTTCATCACCAAGAAGACTGATTTTCTACATCATTATTTTTTATTGTATAATAAATGTGCACTACGTAACATTTCCGAAGATGGGTGCACAACCAGCTTGTCTCCATGTTCTGATGTTTTTGATCAGTCTGTAATGTATAGCAAACCATCTTTTCTCTCTTGCCATTTCAACTGTCAGGGCTGAAACAAGTCAACTAATTACAACTAATCAATAATTGAAAGAATTGTTTACTAATTTAGTAATGGAAATATTGTTTTATCAACAAACAAAACATGCAATGTGCAGCGAGAAGCAGGGACAGGAGTTGAAAATTAGCACTAGTTATTCACTCTACATCAGCTGCATGTTCTACCTGTGACTACATGGATCACAAAAGAATCATGTATGATTAAATAAAGTTTTTAATTAATTAAGTTATTTATTTATTGGAAAATATACTTTATGAAAGATGTTCTCAAGCAGCATCAGTTTAGCTTCATCACTGTAAAAAAAAAAAAATCACATTCGCAACCCTTTCACTAAATCAACTAACCAAAAGATCTGATTTATCAATTAGCAAACTAACTGTTAGTTGCAGCAGCATTATTTGACCTCCATCTTCCACTCAAGTAACAAAGAACTGTTTTCCAAAAATAAAATATCTCGAAACTCTGATCATCTTTGACTTTCAAAGATGCAAGCTCTCGTCCAAGATCATGACTCTAATGCACTCTCTAAACACATGCCCTGAGTATTGATTCAATCAGTGTACTCTGGCAGGGAAATGATTAGGATGTCACATCAAAACTACTCTGTCCTCAGAGAAGTGCTGGTTAACAGCTTCAAGTGAAAAGGCAGATTAAATTGTCTTGTCACCACCAAAACTCCAGCTAATTCACTCCATGCTTTCTTCTGTTCCGCTGTGAAAAATGTGGTTGAATAAAACATCACTGACCAATTCAGTGACTAAATGACAAAAGGAGTCCAGCCCGTCTGCTCTTCTGTGGTCACTTTTATATAGAGCTTTTCCACTGTCAAGGCTCGCAAAGGAACCACTCACACATTCATACACCAGTGTCTGCAGACCCCAGTGGTGAAGTGTCTTGCCCAAAGACTCAACTGCAGTATTCATCTGTAGGAGCTGGAATCGCACTGCCAATTTGTGAGTCAGTGGATGTGCCGTCTCTGCCAATGATGAGCAGGATTTAAATTGCCAAACCTTTGGATCAGAGCCCTAGCACTCCTCATTGTGATATCAACGAACACGCTGCTGCTGCTGACATGGATCTAATGAGAGGGAGATATCACACCTACACTCCCTCTATGCTCCTATATCCTCCCAAATACAATCCTGAACTCCTCCCTCACTACAGCACCCATGACGGCGCTATGAGCTCCACATTTTTACTTGAGCTCAGTCATTGGGGCAGGACAAGACAGGCACACAACAGACTTCAGACTAGTCCTTCGTGGTTATTTACATTATTTTTGGCGTGATAGGTCTGCAAAATAAAAACTAAAATAAACTGAACTCAAAGAAGTGCTGCTTTTTCACGGATCCAGTGAAATAAATGATTTTTATCAAAAGCATCAGGAAGTCCACAGAATTCCTAATGCTACCCAAGCTGTAAGGTTGACTCTTCACTCTCTTATTGGCATTGCATAGCGTCTTTGTGTCCTTGCGCAAGACACTTCCAGATCCTCTATTGCTGGCCACATCTTACCACTAACTGAAACACTTTGAGATCATTGTAGAGCCTATTCAACTTGCCTTGCCTAGTTCTAGTCCTAGTTTAGACTTGCTTTTACTCTTGGTTAGTACTAGTTTAATCCTGGTTTAGTTCTGCTTTAGACCTGGTTTTATTCTGGGTTCTGGGTTAGTCCTGGTTCAGATCCAGTTGGCACTAGTTTAATAATTTAATACGGGTTCATTACTGGATTGGCACTTTTGCAAAGCAGTGTTGGTGAAGCCTTTTGTACTTAAATTTTCACAAAAATCTAATATAGCAGTTGTTGTTACGTTGTCATTACAGAAACAGATCTAGATATTTGTAACTTTTATGGTGGGTTCTATGTTATTGCGTTGTCTGGAATGCTTTACAGTATGGTATTAAACCTTTCTATCTTTATGGAGACCAAACCAGACCAAGTTACAGGTCAGATCTGTGGATAGTCGCTCACAGTTAGAATGCATGTTTATGTAGATTTTCAAGATATAAAACCACTTGAAATTGAATAAATGTAAAGTAGAGCTGTTTAATGTCATACTGTGGAACATTCCTAGCCTGATTCATCAGCTGACTTCACTTTGTGGAAACCGTCTGACCTCACAGCATTAAAATTCATTCACTTGATGGTAGGCGGGTACTTTTTTTCATTTAACCAATCACTGCTATTTGGTCATGACATCTGTAATGTGTCACTAACAGGGCTAACTGGTATATTAATCTTTTCCCAAATCCTGTAGAGAGAAAGGCAATAACATCTTTCCCTTTGATAAAATTCACCCAACATTCTCTTTGTTTTAAATCCTCGATCTCAGGAATCATTGCCAATACAGAATATATGGCTCTTTGCTGATTGGCTGGTGCCCGGACTCGCACTTCCAGGGTTTTTGCAAACCTTCTGGTGTATTCCAATTCCTGACCTAGTCGCTGGAGAGAAATTAAATTGAGTAGAGGCAGTAGATGGAGCCAGCCTGGCTAAAACATTCCACACAGAGCAACTATATTTCCATAGAAACAAGCTGGTGACGGACCCCCAACCAAAAAGTTACACAGCAACATATGTTTAATTGTAATTTAACCCAACTGTTTCCAAAGACTAGGTTGCGATCCTCAGGTGGGTCACATTTTAATGCCCACATAGGCTCCTTATGGATACCTTTTATTTCTGGTTCAATTACCAGTGTTTCCCACAGCACTTTAGAGCCTTGACAATAAGTGGCCCCTGTCATGACTACCTCCCTCTAAACCACGTGATCCTCACAAAACTACGGTCGTAGTCAATTAATACTAATTGTTTAGAGAGACATGATCACTCAGTCAGCAATAAAATATCCCCTTTAATGTTCAATAATGGTTACAAATTTATTTTGTAATTTATGAATAATGTCTATTGACTTTGGTTGTGAAGATTTGTGACTGG